TTTTCTGCAGCAGCTACCAATCGATCCGCAAGGTAGATCCTGCTGCGTGTAAAGGTGGAAGTGCGAAATGCCACACCTGTCGATGGTGATAGCATGGGCAATGACAAAATTTGGAGGATGAGCAAAATAGGCTGAGAATGTAGGATGAGGACGAGATTATGGCGGGCGCCAAAAAACATCAGAAAAATCTGCAGCAAAGCGACTGGAACTTGACCTCTGGTGGCAGCAAAGCGACTGGAACTTGAAACAACAGCCATTTTAGAATTCCCCCGCCCTCCCAAGGCCCTCCCCTGCCCGGAAAAGGTTCTTATGGTTAACACCCTTAAAACGTCGCCTGCGGATGCACCTCAACTGCCTGGCGTCACTGGCTTGCATTCAAAACATCTTGCCTAAGTGCAATCAAAATAATCAACGTATATCAATATGTTTTTCACTTTTTCAAACCCTGGCTTGTCGCCTTTATGGAAGAAAGCTTACCGTGCATTGCACCTCCAAGCTGGTCCCTTCAAGGCGCGGCTTGGAGGCTTTCGGCAAAAAGATCCACACCTGACATGCGGATATGCGCTAATGTCAAGAGGAGCCAAGAAACTCTCCGACCCAGCGCGAAACGGAACCCTAATGTCGATGACGCGAGTGTGGAGATCTTCTCCCGGCTTCGTATCAATATTCATTGGCTTGTCCATATTATATATATATACAAATGAATATATATATATATGTAAATATGTGTGTATCTACTATGACGACTGCACGCAAGCCACAGAATGACACCCAGTTCCGTTTTTGGATGCCTCTGGCGCAGCTACCAGTCTCTTCACATGTAAAGAGAAACACACGCTTTGGTCAGCCTGCGCCGCCAAGTGTGCAGGGGATCAACACAATAGGCATCCAAGACAGAGGAGCACGTATCAAATGTGTCAAGGCTTCTAAGATTCTAGGAAGGAAAAGACGAAAACACAGCGTGTAATTGCATGCTACTGTGCTTCTCATAAAACGTGAGACCAAATAGTTTTCCTGTTCAGCGTCTTGGGAACCAATTTGTTGCGTGAGTTTTCGTGATTCGTTGCTAGACCGCTGCTGCCCATCGCAAACTGCAACTTTAAACCTCAAGTCGATCAGTTACTCTGCTCGGATTTGTTTCGCCTCTTCCCAATTGCACACTTCAAAACCGCACGATGCCTTGGCTGCAAGAGGGCAAAGCAAAGCAAAGCAACCTTCTAGACTTCTGAAACATTGCTGGCCGTCTGCGCGGAATGTTGGCATTACATCGTTGCCAATGCCAAGGCAGCCAAGCCACATGGATGTTGGAACCCAGGTATTGAGCCTTGTCTGGCTCCAGAGGCCGAAGTGCGTAAAGGTGACCCGTGCGAGGCTTTAACTCGCCAGTGGACAACACCTCGCCTAGCATTTTATGAATGCCAATGCATGTCATGCATTTGTAATATGCCGTCCACGCATGCCCTATGCAAACAACAAAGCCGTCGCGTCACTGGTTGTGTGCTTGCTTGCTTAAACACATACGCACATCATCAGCACCTGCTCTGCATCTCTGATAGGTGTGGCTCCAAAATTCAAAGGCGTGGTACTCCTGTGGCAAAAAGGCTCAAGAGTTTGAGCAGAGCTGCGCGCTGGAGGAAGAAAATTTTCCCTGCCTGGTCCATAGCCAATTGGACCTCACCACCTTGCCACGCAAAAAGGCCACACAACCTCCAGGATCCAACTGCAGCAGTCAGGCGCGTCACCACCTGGTCCCACTGCGGGACACTGTGAAGCTATGAGGTGGGGGGATCTATATAGGACGATGGGACGTTCCTGTTGAAAGATGTTTATATTCTGTGAACTTCTGTAATACTTATGTTTTTTGACAGGCATTCTTCTATGCTAACAACTTCTTGATTAAAAGATACTTCCATGACACAGCTCATGCGCCTCGATGGATCTTGGAACAGTGATGACCAACTGACCAACACATTAAAAATATTGGCAGAAAGGAAGTACCGTGGTAGTGTCATGTTCCTTGGGCTCACTGTGATCAACGTGTGGCGTGAGGAAGCAGAATTCAAATGTTCCTTCACCGACATCGCCTTGGAAGGAATCTCTTCGTGGGTGAAGTGCACCTCTGCTGCAGGTATTTCCATTGGTGGAAGCAAAGCCTTGAGAATCTCCAGCCGATCCTGCAGCCACCCCTGAGAAGTACCACGAGAATGCAAGTTTGCCCGCTGCCCGCTATTTTTTGATGACCTTGATCTGTCTCAGTTCCGCCGATCTTGAGTCTGCCCCAAAAAACACCCTGGAAGTCGGAATACTTCAATTAGAAAATAACCTTTCAACTCATAAGAAATCTGTATTATAAAGATTATAAAGCTTTGTATAGTGCGCTGGCCGTCCAGCGTTCCTTGGATTACCATGGCATCTGGTCCTTGGGTAAACTCTTCAAATCGTCTGAGAAGATAACGGATCCACCGCTAAACGCCACGACGCTCGCAAGCGTCTGGGCTTCGGCCAAGTCCACCTGGCAATGACTGCAAGCCAAGTTGCCGTCAATTTCAGGCAATGAGGGCACGTCTGGTCACGTCTAATCATGCCATCCATGCGAGCAAGGTAGTGTGTGACGTGCTTGTTTGAACTAGACTAGGACAATTACAGCGGCCATTGGGAATCACAATCGCACTTGCGACCAGCTGCGACTAGCCTAGTTAGTTTCATCTGCTTCGGCCGCCCTTGCGCACCTCCTTGCGGATGATGAGGCAATCAGGGTCGTTCACCCATAGCCGGCTATTCATGTGGAGCCGTGCCAAGGTGCTGCACACCATGTTCCTCGCCATGACGCTGCCCAAGCCACTGCTTTCACATTGTAGAACTTGGGCCTACAGTACCGGTTATTTATCTATATATTTAATTCATTCTTTTTGAGGAGATTTCCAATATTTAAGGTCAGGCTGCCGGAATATGCAGCAATATTGTTTGGTTCTCGCTTTAAGATGTTTGAGGTTTGTATGTGTTCAGTTCTCCTGGCTGCAGGCAAGTTGGTGCGATCCGACTTAAAGTACCATCTGGTACCCCAAATGTCAGGCCTCAGATCGCATGGTCTTTTCCCAGGTTCGGGCTCAAAGGGCCCGTTGGTTCAACGGGCCCGACAGGCCCAACCGGCCATCCAACAAACTTGCTGCCAAGCTCTTGATGCTGTGTTGCAACTACGTTTTGCACAGCCCTGCGATTTTTTACTAGCACGTTGCAAGCATGCCTTGCATGCTTAGTGAACTTGCTGCCGCGCGCTTGATGCCACTCTGCAAGCACATTTTGGACGCTTCTACAAAACCGACGTTCAACGAGGTTCCGGGGAAGGTCCCGGAAAAGGTCTGGGAGGCTTTGGTGCAGGCGCCAGGTCAAGGTCAACAAGGCTCCGGAGAAGGGAGACTCTGGTGCAGGCGCCGGGTCAGGTTCAACAAGGTTCCGGAGAAGGTTCCGGAGAAGGTTCCGGAGAAGGTTCCGGGAAGCCTTGGTGCAAAGCCAAGTCAAATTCCACAGGAAAAGGTTCCGAAGGTTCCGGAGAAGGTCTGGGAGGCTTTGGTGCAGAGCCAGGTCCGGTTCAACAGGGTTCCGAAGAAGGTTCCGGAGAAGGTTCCGGGAGGCAAGCTTTGGTGCAGAGCCGGGTCAGGTTCAACAGGGTTCCGAAGAAGGTTCCGGGGTCAGGTTCAACAGGGTTCCGCAGAAGGTTCCGGAGAAGGTGTGGGAGGCTTTGGTGCAGAGCGAGGTCACGTTCAACAGGGTTCCGGAGGAGGTTCCGGACAAGGTTCCGGAGAAGGTCTGGGAGGCTCTGGTGCAGAGCCAGGTCAGGTTCAACAGGGTTCGGAGAAGGTTCTGGAGAAGGTGTGGGAAACTTTGGTGCAGAGCCAGGTCAGGTTCAACAGGATTTGCGGCCATTTAATTCACGGAAACCCAGCTGAGGTGTTTCCAGCGCTTGGCTTCGCACGCTTCAGAAAGGTTTGTAAAAATAAAATGTTGCGGCTGTTGGGGAAACCACCGAAGCTTATTTCAAGCATGGGATATCTCTGGGGGGAGGCCTTGCTCGACTAGTGTAAGTTTCAGATAAAGCTTCCAAGACATTAAAGAACAACTAGACGACGGATGGCCCGAGAGCGTAGAGGGAGCAGGGTCTTCTCTTGTTAGTATGGAGACACCATATTACAAAACAATAAATTAAAGATGTGTTATAGGCAGACGAGAAGAGTAGTATCAAGACAATATAGCACAAGTACAAGACAATAGTTTGCATCATATCTTTCAAATAGCTTTTCACACACAGAACTTTTTACAGAGAGACGCTTTTACACACAGAAGCTTTTAGACACCGACACTTTTACATGCGGAAGCTTTTGCGCACAGAAATTTTTACACACGGAAGCTTTTACACACAGACGCTTTTACACACAGACGCTTTTACACACAGACTCCTTTACACACAGACGCTTTACACGCAGACACTTTTACAAGCAAACACTTTTACATACAGACACTTTTACATACAGACGCTTTTACACACAGAAGCTTTTACCCACAGAAGCTTTTACACACAGAAGCTTTTACACACAGAAGCTTTTACACGCAGAAGCTTTTACACGCAGACGCTTTTACACGCAAACGCCTTTACACACAGAAGCTTTTACACACAGATGCTTTTACACACAGAAGCTTTTACACACAGACGCTTTTACACACAGACGCCTTTACACACAGACGCTTTACACGCTGACGCTTTACACGCAGACACTTTTACAAGCAAACACTTTTACATACAGACACTTTTACATACAGACGCTTTTACACACCGAAGCTTTTACACACAAAAGCTTTTACACACAGAAGCTTTTACACACAGAAGCTTTTACACACAGACAGTTTTACACACAGACGCTTTTACACACAGAAGCTTTTACACAGACGCTTTTACACACAAAAGCTTTTACCCACAGAAGCTTTTACACACAGAAGCTTTTACACACAGACGCTTTTAAACACAGAAGCGTTTACACACAGAAGCTTTTACACGCAGACGCTTTTACACACAGAAGCTTTTACACACAGATGCTTTTGCACACAGAAGCTTTTACACACAGACGCTTTTACACACAGACGCTTTTACACACAGGCACTTTTACACACAGACACTTTTACACACAGGCGCTTTTACACGCAGACAGTTTTACACACAGACGCTTTTACACACAGAAGCTTTTACACAGACGCTTTTACACACAAAAGCTTTTACCCACAGAAGCTTTTACACACAGAAGCTTTTACACACAGACGCTTTTACACACAGACGCTTTTACACACAGAAGCTTTTACAACCTTTTACACACACACACAGAGACTTTTACATGCAGACCCTTTTACGCACAGGAGCTTTTACACACAGAAGCGTTTACACGCAGACGCTTTTACACACAGAAGCTTTTACACACAGATGCTTTTACACACAGAGGCTTTTACACACAGAGGCTTTTACACACAGACGCTTTTACACACAGACGCTTTTACACACAGACACTTTTACACACAGACGCTTTTACACACAGGCGCTCTTACACACAGACAGTTTTACACACAGACACCTTTACACAGAGACACTTTTCACACAGACGGTTTTACACACAGACGCTTTTACACACAGACGCTAGGACACGCAGACGCTTTTACACCACAGACGCTTTTACACACAGACGGTTTTAGGCACAGGCGCAAATAAACACACAGACGCTTTGACACACAGATGCTTTTACACACAGAACCTTTTACACACAGCACACAGAAGCTTTTACACAGAAGCTCTTACACACAATAGCTTTTACACACAGAAGCTTTTACCTCATTTTGTGCGAAAAGGTTGCGCGGGATGACTTGAACTCGCAATTTTACTCCAGTTTTTGGCGATCGAACGTCATTTCGTGCGAAAGGGTTGCGCGGGACAAGTTGAAATCGCAATTTTACCTCAGTTTTTGACGATCGAACCTCATTTCGTGCGAAAAGGTTGCGCCGGACAAGTTGAAATCGCAATTTTACCTTAGTTTTTGGCGATCGAACCTGATTTCGTGCGAAAGGGTTGCATTTCGTGCCGTCTCGTTGGCAGTGCCCCGTGCCTTCAAGAGAGAAATAGAAAAGAAGGAGAGGGCAAGAGGGCAAGAGGGCAAGAGGGCAAGAGGAGAAGATGTGAAGATGTGAGGATGTGAAGATGTGAGGATGAGAAGATGTGAGGATGAGCAGATGTGAAGATGTGAAGATGAGCAGATGTGAAGATGAGAAGATGTGAAGATGAGAAGATGTGAAGATAAGAAGATGCGAGGATGAGAAGATGTGAATATGTGAAGATGTGAACATGTGAAGATGAGCAGATGAGAAGATGTGAAGATGTGAAGATGAGAAGATGCGAGGATGAGAAGATGTGAAGATGTGAAGATGAGAAGATGTGAGGATGAGAAGATGTGAAGATGAGAAGATGTTTTACAGACCCCCACTATTGGAAGAACCTTGCGCTCAGACGCTCTCGGGAAAAAATTGCACTTGCCCTACACGCCAAGTAAGGCGGACTCAACTTGCACCCAAGAGACCCCACAGGGTACCAGTGATGCGCTGTGTCGGCAGAGATCCGTGCTGCATCCGCCACCCCAATACAGGGGCCCAATGGAGCACCACAAGCTGCAGGGCATGGCAGGGCTGAGTCCATGGGCTCACTCTGACATCAATATGATTTGACATTATTAGTATTATTATTATTAAACTTATTATTATTGTTATTATAATAAAAATGGATATCTCTCGCTACTTCCAAAGTGAGAGTGGAGATGATCCCTCAACCGTGATGACTTGGTGCCCCTCTGGCAAATAAGCAGAGTCTTTCCCTAAAGGTTACGCAAATGCACCAAACAAGCAATCCTTCCTGCGCAATGCTTCTACAACGTCAAGTAAATACCGACCAAGCCTAAAATAAAAACATCGTCGCCAGCAGCTTCTCGTATGGCTTCCATCAACATTCGCAACGCTTTGGCACGGCTGACCTGGCGAAAGCGCTTTCCAGGCATTGCCGCGCAATGGAGGAAGTCACACCTCAGGGCCGATGCAAATTAAAACGGTTCAAACATGCAATGTGATGTAACATGATGTAACATGATGTACTGTAACATGTCCAATAGAAGAGGCCCCGGACTCACTTGCAGCTCGAAGCATCGTGAAACGACAGGTTCAACCAAGTAGCTTTAAATAGCGAAACCCCCATTCGTGCACAATAGTGCGGATTGTTTTCTTCACATGTTCCTGAGCTTTGCTGACCAATCAACTAGCTGCAGAAGAGCACTGGTCCCGCTCTTCATCGAAACACATCAAAACTACTTTGTCTCATTCGCTTGACACCACAATACTTAAGTTACTTCAGCCATCAAGATGCAAGGACCTCTGGCATGGTTGTATCCAGGGCTCTCATCCATAGCCTCAGGGCAAGACGGCAAAACGCGCAAAATATTCACTGGTATCGGACATATGCGTGGGATCTAACATTATGTGAAATGATTGAACTAGTCCTATCTAGTCCTAGGCTTCTTGGCACGTAAATTCACTCTCTGCACAGCGTGCATTTCTGTAGCAGTTTGATGAAGAGTATGTAACTGTTTCTGTGCTGCCAAGAATCCCTGGTGCCGTAAAGCCACAAGAGACTTCACCTCCGCGGTCATCACGGAGGATCCACTCTGGATGCTCCTGTGCAATGCGGAGCATTTTGGCTTATAAGGCTCATGTTGTATTTACAAAAACGGTGTCTTGCATTGTTGCACCTTTGCCAGAAGAAAGCTTTCGGGCCTTGCACATTCAAGTGAAAGTGACCTACCACTAAGTCATGATTTCCTGGGTATTAAGCTGCTGAGCAGGGATTTACAAGAACCCTGGAGCTCTTGGCTCGCAGGATTTGTGATTAACTGAACACGCACATGCTCCAGGTTGTCCGACAAAACCCTTTATCAAAAGGCCTAAGAAAAGCGAAGTGAACTCTATATTGAGCTTTGTGCTGTGTACATGCAGGTAGGTGGACATAATGCATGCTGTGTCGCGGGGGCCAATTGTACGGACAGTCCAACATTGACTGGTTTAGCTAGTGTTTGCATCCATTGCCTTCAAACATTAATCCACCAGGTCCCCTAGGCAGCTTGCTACCGGCTAGCCATGTCCTTCTGTGAGACCTTCTTCCCAATCCCATCATGTCTCTCCTTCGCCACACGCGAACCTGTTGTCAGGGCAGCAGGTGCCAGCCAAATGCCAGGCACCAAGCCATCCGCCTTCACTGCATCGGTCAAAGGCTTCAGCCCATTCCTCCGAACAACGTCCACTTGCGAAGCAGAACTTGAGATTGTAAGATATTGTAAGTACATGTACGTAAGATATTGTAAGAACATATTTGCAGAAGCCAAGTGACGGGAACTTTGGGTTTGGTCGTAGCCAATCCCCCCAGGCACTTTGCCACCCATCGTCCAGCTGGAACAGTTGTAACGGCAGTTCGCCTCATTTTTGGGTAATGCGCAATGAATGCAGTAACCGCCCTTTATTCTATCTCTCCATCCTCTCCATAGCCCAACTCCATGCCCGCTGCTGCCGGGCTGCCGCTGTCCATGCCCAATGTCTTTAACTCTTTCAATGATTGCCTGCAATGCCAACTGGGTTTCTGCAACTTGTCTGTCCTATGGCCCCAGCAAATGCTGGTCCTAGGACTCATGCGCATGTGTGGGTGCTTGGTGGTGCTGGCCCTGATCATACAGTAGGAGTCCAAGAGCTGAGTTGCATCATCAGCAGTTCATCCACTTGAGGTCCATGGCAGTACCAGGAGCACCAACCTGGATTAGTGGTTGCGGTGGTTGCGCAAGCCGGGTAGGCTACGTAGATCGAGAAATGGTCTCATTGGTAGCATGGCCGTGCACTTCCTCTCTGTGGCGCTGGCAAGTTCACAGGAAAGTGTTGCTGACTGTTCCAGCCTACTGGTTGTGGCTTGGTTCTTTGCAGTCTGTGGTACTTTGCCGACCTTAGCCATGCGATGAGCCGCTGTTAACCATGTACAAAAACAAGCGTTTGAACCTGAAGCTGACATGCTGAACATACTGACAGAAACAGAACAATTCAATCTCAGAGTTCTTGCAGGATAGCTTTAAACTGGCCAAACGTGCAAAGATGACCGCTGCAGGTGATGTCAGCGGTCATGTTCGGGAACCCTCTCAAAAGGATATGAGGGTTTTAGAGGTACCTTCCCAAAACATGTAAGGGATGGCTTCCATGCCTATTTTCGAGGGTGTAGGGGCAAAAGTACGTGTGCTCTGAATTGTCTTCTGTTGCAATGGTTTCCCCTTGGCCTCTACAAATTTGAATCGGCGATATACCCCCTCTGCATTGAAAATGACCAAGAGGCATCTCCAGGTACTTCTGGACGGCAACATCATGTTCAGAACCAGACTGAATGCTCAAGTAGCACCAGTCCGAAGCCCTGGAGGTTGATCGTGGAAGGATTGAAGTTGTGTTGATATGTGCTGATTACCTTGCGATGATTCGTGGTAGCTCTTAATGCTGCTAATGGCATGCGAATGTTTGTTGCGGTTGCAATGGTAGGGAGCAATCCGTTCCAACAACTGAGATGTGA